TGAAAATCTCTTCATAATGAAAATTAAGTGCCTAGTAAAGTTCTAGTTACCAGGAACAAAATACAGTACCCCAAGATCATAAACCCCAAGGGTTTTTTCTTTTTTCTAAATTGTTCCTATTTTACGTCTTAAAGCAAAATGGTTAAAATCTGGCAAAGATAGCCTTTATGGAGAATTATTTTTATGCTTAAGATGGAAAGTTTCATTCTGAATGGCAGTGAATCAGATTAACTTTATTCAGTATCAGTTACACACATACAAAATGTTTTTAAATGTTTCACTCTCAAGATTTGATAAACCCATGTTTTCTGTATGGTTCTGGTAAACTGTATGACTTCATTCTACTGATTAATTTCTTTTGTTTCATCTCATTTAATCCTCTTAACACTGAGGTAAGTATTAATTATTTCCCCCACTTAACATATGAAGAAATTTAAGCACAAGGAGATAAATAAATGTTCTGAAGACTCACAGCTAGAAATAGAAAATAGGGATTTGAATCCAGGCAATTTCATTACAGAAGGCTTGCTCTTAACAACTACACTAAAAGGCTTGCATGTGACATGGTGCTGACGAACAACTGTGGTGGAAAAATGTACTTGCAGGACAAAAAGCACTCACCTACTCATTCTTAAAAATCAGTATGTTATGGGTTAGTCTCAAATTTGTCCAAGGCAAGACTATATTGGGATGTATCATATACTGTGATAAATTACGGAAATATTTTATCTTGAGATACCAATTTTAAAAGCACAGGCTGGGCACAGTGGTTCACACCTGTAATCCCAGCACTTTGGGAAGCTGAGGCAGAAGGATCATTTGAGGCCAGGAGTTCAAGACCAGCCTGGGCAATATAGCAAGGCACCATCTCTAAAAAAATTTTTTAAATTAGCTGGGCATGGTGGCCTGCGCCTGTAGTCCCAGTTACTTGGGAGGCTGAGGGAGGAGAATGGCTTGAGCCCTGGAATCCAAAGCTCTAGTGAGGTATGATCATGCCACTGCTTTCCAGCCTGGGTGTCAAAGCAAGACCCTGTCTCTAAAAAAATAAAAAATAAAAAATTAGAGATACTCAAAGTAAATATGGTTTATATTCCATAAATTGTGTTTTTTGGAATTTTCCATGCTTCCATGCTTTTTCTAATCCTTCAGCTTTTGCTCATTTTCATTGTCTTTGCATGACTTGGATAGGCTAATACATCCTAGTTTACCATTATTTGCATTAGTCAGCTTGAAATGCCATAGCAAAATATCATAGATTTGGAGGCTTAAACAGAAATTTATTTTCATACAGTTCTGGAGGCTGGAAGTTCAAGATTAGGGGTCCCGCATTGTCCTGTTCTGGTGAGGTCCCTCTTCCAAGTTGCAGAGAGCCACCTTTTTCCTGTGTGCTCACTCAGCCTTTCCTGGGTGTACTCCTGGGTAGGGAGGGATGTAGACAAAGGGAGAAGAGAAGAGGGAGCTCTTCCTCTTCTTATAAAAGCCACCAATTCTATGGGTTTAGGACCACACTCTTATGACTCCATTTAATCTTAGTTACCTCCTAAAAGCCTTAACTCCAAATATAGTCACATTGAGAGTCAGGGCTTCAACTTATGAGATGGGGGAGATACAATTCAGTCCATATCACTATTTTTTATACATGTCTATAGTATCTTCTCCTTTCTTAGAATGCATGTATTGAAATCATACATGTTTTACTTTTCCTTGTTTACTTACCTTTGTCTCCTTAGACATGAGTTCCCTTAGGCCAGATTCTAACATCTTGCCATTGTATGCCAGGCTCAGTATTTGGCACTTAACGGCCATGGGGTAAATGTTGGTTGAATGAATGAAGAAATGATACCAACTACCTTATTCTGCTTCTTTATCAGGTCTTAGCAGCAAATGCCATAATTAAAGCAGGGGTATAAAATACAAGTACAGGCCTAAGCAGATACTTGGGACTTTGCTGAAGACAGAACATTAAAAGAAGCCTTATGTTCATCCAGGTACTAAACTTCATGGACTTTAGTCTCCTACAAAGTCCTCATCAAAGTGGTAGAATCTGCATGTCAATAAAGTTAAACATTGATCAACAGCCATGACTGGGCTAGGAAGCGGGTGTTGCACCTGTTCAGGTGAGTAGCACAGCAACTCAATTTGTAAGTTTTTATTTCAGACAAACACGGTTTTTAAGAATAGGGTAAACAATCTATTAATTATATCCATTGAACAAATGACCACGTGATAATGTACTCAATCAGTTAAAATTAAGTTTTTTAAAAAAGACAGTGCAATGAGGCCTGTACAGAACTTTATTGTACTCTGAATAACAAGCATGTAACAAAATTTTAAGCATGACAAAAATGAAATATCTCAGATTCTATTCCTTACAAAAGCATTAGGAACAATACACAAAGACTATTCATAATATTTTAAAGTCTGCTAAAAATATCAATACATTCTAGGATTTGTGTAGTTATCTTTCCTTTCAACTAGGGCATTTATTCCCATTAGCTTTGCTACAATTAAAATTAACATATATGAACATACACATATAATAAGTAAAAAGGAAAATGAGGGCATACAACAAAGATACTAATTAATCAGCAAGTATGAAGTCTTTTGGGTACTTCTGAATTTACATTTTCTTTGAATATGTTGTACAATGAAATGTTTTTTCTCAAATATTTTTAATGTTACATGATTTTGACCATTCCCAATGTAATTAATACTCTTTCTTAGCATAATCATTAATCTGATTTGAGAGTTTGGAAATGAAATAAGAAATACATTAGTCTTATTCAGAGGTGATATTTAAAACACTGACAACAAGAAGTCCACTAACCCTTGCCAACAGGCACAAACACTGGAGTAAATGACAAATACGGCAATATCGTCTATCCCAGCTGAATATCAGCCCTGATCTTATTTCCAATGACCGAATATATGTTTTGGGTAATATACAAGCATGAGCTATGAAATGGGAAACATGAAATTCACACAAACATGAAATTGAACTCAAATCGCTACTGCATGGAGGCTGAATGTGAGCTATTTCACAGTGACTAAAATCAACTGGCTAGCAGGCAACGGTGGATTTTTATATTTAACTTTGATTAGAACAATTGGACTTTACAAGAAACCCTTGAGATTTAATTAATGCTACTAGTCTAAGGACTCCAAATTACTGAGGAGCTTTTAAAATCAGTATATGTGACCTTGTATATATTTTTCCATAAGGAAAAAAAAATAAAAACACCGAGGTACTTTAGTTTCTTTTCAAGGGATTACTGTTGGTTATCTTCCTGAGATGCAAAAGACCACAAAAGAAAAGCACCATGCCCAGGTTGCTGAATGAGGCATCAGACACTAATAGTTTGGTCCTTTCCTAAATGGATCTCTCCCGACAATTACACTAAAACATAGTGATGGGTCACAGATGCCAGGGGGGCCTGGTTGCCCTTGGATTCCAGGTTTTCCATGATCTCCATCTTTGCCAGGGACACCTGGATCTCCCGGAGGACCTTCTTTGCTTATTCCAGGAGGGCCCTCTGGACCTGAGATGGGACATTGGCAATATGTGAACAAAGGACTTTGGTTTCTGATGGAGAAATAACTGATTCTGCAAGAAATTTAAACTGAAAAATAAAACCTCTTGAACACTTTACATATGTGCACTAATTTAAAAGAGGAGGCATTGTCTTGCTAATTCTACATGTTTTCCCTTCTGAAAAGAACTTTCCAAAAGTAATCAGTAAATTTTTGAAAAACTAGGCTAGGCATATTAATATAGCAATCATGCTACTGATTAAGACATTAAGCTAATATTCTAATAGTCTAATTTGTGGATTGTCCAAACTTATTTCTTCCTTTCAGCCTATCTTTTGCTAATATTATTATAAATTAGCAGGTGATATATAGATAAGCCAAAGCTCTAAAAGTCCTTTTGGTGCCATATCTGCTGTAAAAATGACTATTTCCATTATATACATAGTTTCTATATCTCAATACATTGTCATTGTCATAGCATAACAGTCATCGACATACATAGGTTTTATAGCATTGATTTGTGAAACACTGCCTGATTAGTTCAGTTAGCATGCTCCAGGACAGAAAAGTTAACTTAGGATATTGGCCATTTAAAGATGATTCCAAATAACAAAAACAAAATATTCAGGTTTGGGGATGGAGCAGAGGGGTTTGGAGTATTTCCTACTACTCTACTTACTGCTGCTACTACTAATAAACATTTATTTAGAACTTAACTAGGATAGTACATATTGTTCTTAGTGTTTTACATAAGCAGTATTAAATAATTTGATCCACTCAAAAGCCTCATGAGTTAGTAACATCTAAAATAATAATAGCAAACATTAATTGAAAACATAACTATGATTATCATTCACTGT